AATATGTCCTGTATATTTCTATGTATAGAGTGACAAGGATGGGCCACCAGACAGTAAACTTTTGATTTCTAAATAAATCACCAGAGCAACAGGCACGAAAATTTGGTCCTAATCGAGGCCCTCACCTTGTCCATGAACCCGAAACAGACCCCCACCCACCCCCTCGAGGAAGAAAACGTCCAAACCTGAAACCCAAAATGAGTCCAACAACAACAAAAGAAAAAGCCCCAGCCCAGCCCTGTCCCCCTGTGGGCTCTGCCCCTGTACAGCCCCTCACACTGACGGTAAGTAGATTCCCAGGCTACACACGCGCACACACACACCCTGACACACACCCGATGTAAATACACACACACACTGACACACGGACACAAGGACGTTACAAATGTACACCCGTGGGGGAGCAACCCCCACGCAGTCCCCGGCAGCTGCTCCCAGCCCACCCTGGGGCTGGGCTGCGGGTCGGGAGGGCCTGGGAGGCTGGCGGAGCCTCAGCGTGGCAGGCACGGTACAAGCGGCTCATCCCATCCCTTGCACTGGATGCTCCCAGTGCTCTGCTGTGCTCTGCTGGAAGGGCTTCCATGTGGATCCCACTGTGACCACAGTCCTGCTGGACCTGGACCCAGACACTGTTAGCTCTGGAGCTGTTTCCCACACCCTGGGTCAGAACGGAGGTAACAGGCAGTGCTGATTCTTCACTTTGAGGCTCCATAAGCTGCTGAAGGTAAACTCGGGGCCATTAGAATGCAAAGAAGGGAGGAAAATCTATTCTCCCCAAGCTTCTGTCTGTTCTGAGGCTGTGCTTCCTGACCCTGACTTCCAGATGCCATCCTGGAAACTAAACAATCAGGTCTGTCACCCACTGTTTCATAGAATTATGGAATCACAGGATGGTTTGGGTGAGAAGTGACCTCAAAGCTCACCTGGTTCCACCCCCTTGCCATGGGCAGGGACACTTTCCATTAGACCAGGCTGTTCCAAGCCGCATCCAGCCTGGCCTGGAACACTTCCAGGGGTGGGACAAACACTTCCAAGGATGGGGATGGTTTCACAACTCGCTCCAGGGGATGCCCATGGACAACCCCTGGCTGCTGGGGGTACCTACCTCACCCCACGCCATGGAAGGGACACATCTTACTCCTCAAACACCGTCCCCTGAACTCCCCTCTCCAGGCTGAGCACAGAAGGGAGGGCACTCAGTCCTGTGAGCCACCTATAGCTCCCAAACCACCTCCGAGCTGGGAGAGAAGGGGACAAAGGTTTCAGAGGGCAGAAGGTGTTATGAGATGCAGGTGGGGAAGGGAAGGTAGTGGCAGAGGGCAGTGATGGAGAGCTCAAGGCAGGACAATGTTGGAGGGGACAGGGAGAAGACAGTCCATGGCAGGACAGGGATGTGCTAGGTGCCAGCTGGGAAGGTGGTGGATGCCCCAGCCTGGCCACGTGTCACTGGGACACAGCTGCTGCGGGGACCTGCCTGGCTCTGACCTCAGCACAGCTGCTGTTTGTGCTCCTGATGCTCCTGCTCCATGCCTCTGCTTCGCTCCCTTCCCTCCCTCATCCCTGTGCTGTGTGCAGGAGCCATGGAGGCGAGCAATGACCAGTCCAACAGCAGAAGAACAGGCTGCCTAGAGAAGTTCTGGAGTCTCCTTCCCTGGGGATATTCCAAAGCCATCTGGACACTGTCCTGAGTAACGTACTCCAGGGGACTGGATGAGCTCCAGTGGTCCCTTCCAACCTCAACCATTCTGTGACGAAATTCCCTTTGATGCCAGAAGGCATTCCCTTCTTGCAATCCTCTCTGACCTGTCCTCCGTGTTCAGCCCTTTGCTGAACCATGTCCTCCCAGGTGAGCCAGTGGATCACTCCCTTATCCACAAGGATAATATAAAAAAAATGGTCCTCCCCACCTCCACCACCTCAGGGAAAACACAGCTGCTGGCCTGGCGCTGCCAGGAAAGGTCTTCCTTCACCAAGGTCTCCATTTGAGAGCCACATCACATGGGAACACGGACAGCTATCCCAACACCTGTGTGCCTGGAGGCTGGGACAGGACTGACATTGCCAGAGCTACTTCAGTGTTCCCTCCTCTTACCCATTTCAAATCCATTCCTCTGTGACCCACCAGGAAATTTCTCCCAACTAGGAGGTGACCTCCATGTGGCATTGCTCAGCCCAGAGGAGAGCAATGACATCACTCCCTTGCATGTCACCGTCTTGTCCCACATTTCTCCACTGCCTTTAGCTGGAGGATGGAGCCGCTCTCACCCGTTTTCTGTAGGCAGTGCTGCTCCCCAGGCTGTGTGTCTTTGGGAGGGATGGGTGGAAGAGGATGGAGAGTTCCCCCTCTTGTTGCTGTCAGTTCAACATCCACATGGTCAGAGATGGGAGTGAGCTGGGTGTCAGGCACCAGGACAGACCGGGGCTGTCTCCAAAGAGTCTCCAGTGTGGCACAGGTGGACAAAGCCCCTTGGCTTTGGTTGACTTGGTTTGGTGACTCTGCAAGCCCTGTGGATGGAGCTGGTGCTCCTGGAGTGACAGTGAGATGTCCCTGCAGCCACCAGTGTCGATTTAGGCTGGAGAGTCCCACTGGGGGACTCTGACAAGGTGCTGCCACCACAAAGTCACCAAATCCTTGTAGAAATCTTCAAATTCCCTGGGATCCAGCAAAGCAAAGCCAGCACCAGAGTCCAGGGTGGCCTCAGCTTCTGCCAAACCCCCAGAGAGGGGCCTGTGCCCCTCCTGCCTGGCAGTGTCCCTGGCAGTGTCCCCGTGCCCAGAGCTGTGCCGAGGTGGCATGGGGAGCTGAGCGTACCTGAGGGGTGGTCAGCATGGTGCCCACTGCCAGCCTTGGATGTCCTCCAGTCCGAGTGCACCTCCTGCCTCCATGCACCAACCACCCCATAAATAAATACATTAAATAAATAAAGTGACCGATCCGGGTCAGGTCAGGGCAGAGGGCAGGAGGGGGCAGGGCCCCTTGCTGGGGCTGTTTGTGTCTCGCACAAACACACACGCACACAACGTAGCTGAAGACAAGGATGAGCTGGAGCCGGTGGGACGTGGCTGGCTGGGCCCTCCCTTGGCCTTGGAGGGGCTCAGTCCTCACCATGAGGCAGCGCAGGGACGAGGGGTCCAGGACATCACTCCTGAGCTGGCATCGTGGTGGCACACGGGGAGCTGGAGGTGAGGGAGACATGAGTGGTGGAGGATGGCAGTGACCGCGGTGTCTGGCACCTGGTGGGGACACAGAGAAAAGCTGGTTTGCTTCTGCTTCCCCTGCCTGTCTCCTGCTCTCTGTCAAATCCCTGAAATCTGGCTGTTTTCTCACTCATCTGCTATACACAGGCAGCACCAAAAGGCACTCCATGCTAGGAAGGATGGTACCTTGTGCCTGGGATATGTGTATCATGGAATCATGGAAGTCTGGGTTGGAAGGAACCTTAAAGCTCATCCAGTCCCACCCCTGCCACGGGCAGGAACACTTTCCTCTAGACCAGGTTGCTCCAAGCCCCATCCAACCTGGTCTGGAACACTTCCAGGGATGGAGCAGCCACAGCTTCTCTGAGCAATCTGTGCCAGTGCCTCACTACCTTCACAGGGAAGAATTCCTTCCCAACATCCCATCTCTCCCTGCCCTCTGGCAGTGGGGAGCCATTCCCCCTTGCCCTGTCCCTCCATCCCTTGTCCAAATCCCCTCTCCAGCTTTCCTGGAGCCCCTTTAGGCACTGGAAGGGGCTCTAAGGTCTCACAGGAGCCTTCTTGTCTCTAGACTGAAAACTCCCAGATGTCCCAGCCTGGATCCAGAGCAGAGGGTCTCCAGCCCTCAGAGCATCTTTGTGATCTCCTCTGGACTTTCTCCAGCAGCTCCACATCTATCCTGCACTGATCTGTACACAATGCTGTATGACAATGCATCAGCAGCATTTTAAACTGATCACACCCAGCAACTCACAGCCCAGTTCACCCCAAAAGGCATCCCAAAAGGGTTTCAGCTTCACTGCAACTCCTCCTCCTGCCCCAAACCCCCACTGAGCATCCCACAGCTCCCCATGGCACTCACCAGGAGCGTGACTTCCGCACCCGTGAGGCCGCTGGCCGCTCCAGGAGGCTGTCCAGGTGCATCAGCCTCTCCAGGTGGAGAGCCCGAGGGTCCTGCTCTGCCAGGTCCCTGCTGCGCTCGAACTCAAAGATGGCCGGAGGGGAGAGGTCCAGCTCCAGGAACATGATGTTCTCAGCCTGCAGCAGGACAGGGTACAGGGAGAACTGGGTGGTGAAACACAGCTCTGGCTCCGGCAGTCTGTGCTGCCAGGGGAAGCTGCCAGCACACCAGGGAGAGGGGACCCTCCTCTGGCTGCTATGGCATGGGGTGAGCTCCACACTGAGCTGCAGCTCACAGCTCTGCTTAGGATCTCCTGGCCTTTCCTGGGCTGAGCCCAGCAGGCCAGGCTGAGCAGCCCTGTCCTTTCCAACGGCAGGAGCTGCTGGAGATGGGGAGTCAGCAGCTCCGTGAACGGCTGTGAGCAGCATCTGCCAAGTGGGAGGATGAAGCTGAGAGCCTGAATTGATGCATTCCAGGTCATGATGAGCTTGTTTACCCCATCTTCTCTCCCAGTGCTCAGCTCCATCCCATCCATCCATCCATCCATCCACCTCTATTCTTCTGTCCACACACCTTCATCCATCCATCCCATTTACCCAATGCCTTCCCACCCCCCCAGAACACACCAGTGCCCCGTGACATACCCGGAAGCGTGGATGGGATCTCATGGCCATGGCCACGCGGGCATACTGGCTGATGGGCCTCTTGTAGCCCACGGCAGATGTGGGTCTCCTCTTCATTTGGGAGCTGCCTCTATTCTTCTGTCCACACACCTTCATCCATCCATCCCATTTACCCAATGCCTTCCCACCCCCCCAGAACACACCAGTGCCCCGTGACATACCCGGAAGCGTGGATGGGATCTCATGGCCATGGCCACGCGGGCATACTGGCTGATGGGCCTCTTGTAGCCCACGGCAGATGTGGGTCTCCTCTTCATTTGGGAGCTGTTCCTAGAGCACAGATTGAGGGAGGAACACAAGCTGGAGAACATAAACTCAACCAAACCCACGTCCGAGTGGTGACCAAGAGAGCATGTCACAGCAGGAGAAGGGACTTGGCTTGGAGGAGATTTCCACCCATGGGCACGTGCAGGAGTTCCTGGCTGCCCCCCATCCCTGGGACATTGGTGCCTGTGGGTCATTAGTGTTGGGGCAGTGCATGAGCTGGGGACATACCCTCCAGTGGGCACAAGAGGCTGGAATTTCCACTGGTCCTCATCACCGTCGAAGTACAGACGGTTCATGATCTTGTTCTTCTCCTCAGGAGGGATGAAGTTCTCGATGATCAAGTATCTGAGCCAGAGACCGGCCAAGAGAGGCAGAGTGGGAGCAACGTGGGGAAGGAGCAAGAGAGGAAGGAGTTAATGTGACCGGAGACAGAACACAGGTCGGAAGCAGAGAGGAAAGGGACGTCAGGAAGAGAGGGTGGCAGTGCAGGGAGAGAAAATATCCAGAGAATGATAATGGGATGGAAGTGGAGAGGTTGAAGCAATAGATCCAGGCACAGGGGAGAGAAGGAGAGGGAAGGCAAGGGAGGATGTCATCAGAGAGAAGCCAGGACCCCTGGGAACTCTGGGGCTTCAGGCAGGATCAAGACCACCCCCCCTTCACTCCTCCTGCCATCTGCTCCCCAGGCTGCCTGACCCAAAAGTCAAGGAAAGCTCAATGATGATAAATGGACCCCAAAGGGAATCTTTTTTTCCATGTTTCTGGGAACAAGTTGAGCAGCTGCTGAAAATGGTTCTGAGGCAACGAACTGCTTCACTGAGCTGTGGCTTCTGAGAACTCTGAGCCATGTTGGGAGGGAAAAGAGGCAAAACTGGAGATGGAATTTTATTTCTAGTAGAACTATTTTACCTTGAAAACCATGAAGTTCTTGGAAGTGTCTGGGAGGGGTTAAAGGTATGAAACAAGATGATTGTTTGAAGTGAGAACAAACCCCCAGGGGTGGTGGAGCAGCAGCTACATCTGTGGGAGGCTCCCAGAGGGAAAACACTGCCTGGCTCTGCCAGTACAAGCTGGGAGCTTCCACTGGGATGAGGAGTCATCCCAAGTCCCCCAGAGCGGCTCTCCCTTCAAAGACAGTGCTGGGACCGGAGCAAATATCCAGGTGCCCTCAGGGGACACTTGCTCCCAGCCAGTACTGCCAACCCTGGATTTAGCTGCAGCTGGGTTCTGCTGGAATATTTCCTGGTTTTCCCCTTTCTCAGCAACTATTTAACCTGCCATGTGCTGCTGGCCCAGTGCAGAGCTCCAAGGTGTCACACCTTCTGCCACCACCGACAGGCGGGAAGGGCTCAGCTGTCCCCCTCAGCAAGTGTATCGCTCTCTCCAGCTGTGCAACCACTCTGAGCACCCCAGCTCTGCTCTGAGCACCCTAACACTGCTCTGTGCACCCCAGCTCTACCCTGCATATCCCAGCCCTGCTCTGTGCACCCAAACCCTGCTCTGTGCACCAAAACCCTGCTCTGTGCAACCCAGCTCTGCACTGCACACCCCAGCTCTGCACTAGAAACCCCAACTCTGCTCTGCACACCTCAGCTCTGCTCTGGAAACCCCAGGTCTGAGCACTTCAGCTCTGTACTAGAAATCATAACTCTGCTTTGCATACCCCAGCTCTGCTCTGAGCACCCCAAGTCTGCCCTGTGCACCTCAGCTTTGCGCTGAGCACCCTACACAGCTGCACCTGGATGTGGTGAATCCACAACCAGCTCCCAACCACCTACTTGAGCTTCAGCTCCCGTGTCTGCTCGTTCTGGGCCTCCTCCAGGTCCTGGCGCACACGGATGTACTCGTCATGCTGGTCCTGGATCTCTGCCTTCACGGCCTGCAGCTTGGCATAGAGCTGGGGAGGGGACAGCAGCACCCTCAGCCCCAGGCCTGGGGCCACAGCAAGCCCCAGAAAGGGATATTCCCATCCCTGTCCCTGCCTGCTGCACTCTCACCTTCTTCAGCTTCTTAGTTTTGATCTCCACCTCCTGCTGCAGGGAGGTGTACGTCTCCCGCAGCTCCATGGTCTCCTCATCCCGCAGCAACATCTCCTGCTGCATCTCCCGCTCCCGGCGTTTCTGCAGGGCAGGGAACATGGCTGGAGCCAGGACCAGTCCTGCCAGGACACCCCTGTCACCCCCCTGTGCCAAGTCAGCCCCACACTGTTACCTGCTCAGCAATCTCCTGCCGCTTCAGCTCCAGCATCTTCTGCTGCTCGTTGGTGTGGTCCACAATGGTCCTGCCCCCGATGAGCAGCTTACTCTCCATTGCCTGGGGAGGGGACAGAGTGGGGTTGGGTCAGAGAAGGGTGGGGGGCAGAGCATGGCTCTCCACCCCTCCACCCTTGGGGTTTGCTCCAGGCCACTCTTGCTGGATGTTCACCTCCCTGTCCTCATCCCTGCTTTCAGAGAGGTGGGAGCACTCCGTGCACATGTGCTTCAGTGCCCAGCTGATGGGGAGGGGTATGTGCATGATTACAGAGTCCCAGAATCAATCAGGTTGGAAAAGATCTCTGAGATCATCAAGTCCAACCTATGACTTAACACCATCATGTCAGCTAGACCAGAGAACTAAGTGCTATATCCAGTCTCTTCTTAAACACCTCCAGGGATGGTGACTCCACCCCCTCCCTGGACAGCCCCTTCCAATGTCAAATCACCCTTTTTGTGAAGAAATTCTTCCTAATGTCCAAATTAGATTGGATATGGGGGACAATTTCTTCCTTTCTGTCCAGCCCTGGAACATGCTGCCCACAGCAGGGAGGGAGTCACTAGCCCTGGAGGGATTTCAAAGCCATGTGGATGTAGCACTTGGCAACATGGTTAGTGGTGGCCTTGGCAGTGCTGGGGGAATGGTTCTGCTTGATGATCTCAGAGGCTTTTCCAACATAAATAATTCCATGATTCTCTGGACACCCAGCAGCCTGGGGCTGGTTCAGTACCAAGGGCACAGCACTGGGGGTTGGTTCAGCACCAGGGGCACAGTGCTGGGGGCTGGAGAGGGGTGTGGGTGATGTGCCCCCCCACCCAGAGCTGCTGGCACTAAGCCCAGGCTGGTTCAGGTCCCACTTCCTTCCGCACAGCTGCGATCCTGCCGGACACTGCGGATGTGCAGCAGCTGCAGGCAGCAGGGCCCCGGCCCCCCCTCCCCCCCCCTGCACCACCCCC